GAAAAATAATGATATTAAAGCGAATATAAATTCTCAGGATACGAATCTGCTAGAATCTTCAAAATCGTTGGGAAGCAAGGAAATACTGGTCAGGCCAAAGCAAGTACATGGTATGCACAAGTGTAAAAGAAGATATATACATATATATATATATATATATATATATATATATATATATATATATATATGTATATATATATGTATGTGTGTATATACACACACAGAGATGCGTCATTAAAATCAAAACAATGAAATGTGAAAAGTCTATATTCAATTACAGATGATGTTGAAGATGATGTTCGAATAGAAAAATCTGACGAAAATATCGATACGTTTAATGCGACGTTAGAATCGACAAATAAAAATTTGCAGAGCTTCCAGTATCTAATGGATAACGACGAGAATAATGATTTAGAAAAATCATCGAGATCAATGGAGACCGTAAACCAGATGGACGAGCATGATGACTCGTAACAACTAAAGATCTCGCGTTATGCGTGTCGTAATTATAATTACACGACGGCAAGGCTGATACTTTCATTTTGAAAGCGTACTGACGTATTTATCATGTATAAGTATATATGTGTATATGTTTCTATTTATATGCACACACACACAGACATACACACACACACACACACACACACACACAAACACGCGCGGGTACGTCTATTTTAACAAGGTTTATATACATATGCTATGTTCAACATTTGTTGCTCCTCGGAAGATTTTGACGATCTCGAAATTGAAAATGATCTTTTCATTTGCGATTATTATGTGTACAAAATGAATAAGACAATTAGATTCATCTGTTAAGAGATCATTTGTTAAGAGATTCCGACATTTGAACATATTGATTGATATTAGTACTGTATATAAGTGCCAAATTATACAATCTGCCATTAATTTATATTTTTGTAAAGAACCATGCGCGTTTGTTCATTTATCTATCATAATCCCAGTTTGCAATGTAAATTATTTCTTCATTAGCTTTTAGAATTTATCTACTATTTAACAAATTTGACTGTTGTTTTAAAAATTATCAAATTATTGAATCAAATGCAATTATTGAATGTTACATAGCGAAAGGAGAGGTAACTAGGTGTGTCAAATTACATACACACTGGAAAATCATTTTGTACTTCTGTTTGTAAATATGTAAGACATTTTTGTAAATGTGATATTATGATGTTAAGTATTAGAAGTTTGGTTTTGTGAATCTGTCACTTGCTCATACTACTATCGCAGCAGCATTGTAAATATTTTGTAAATGTACTGAATATCTCAGATTATTCTGAGAAAAGATGTTGGGTGGATATATAACATACTTCCTTCCACCCTATCGCCATTAATAAATTGCGAATGTTAATAAAAGTTTAATGATAGTACTAGTTATTAATAGCGAAAAAGGGAAGTATCGTTTTTTGCTATTTTTTAATAAAACTTGCTCATATAGAGCAACAATTTGCTCTCACCTAAGAGAGTGTAACAGGAAAAGGCTATATTTTTTGTAAATGAAATAACACTGCCCTTCGAATTGCAATATCGATGTACTCTATTACTTAGAGTACTTAGACTTTACTGTATTTTATGCAGTATTTTCGCCAAGTTGCAAAATACTTTCGCCTACATTCTTATTGTATGAATTTGTAAGCAGCTAATCTTTATCAATGTAAATTGAGATAATTACATTTTTCAATTAAGTATACTCGGCATGTACTGATTGTGAGTGTCTCAGATTTTTCGTATCAAAAGATGGTAGCAGTAACTTTTCGCACTAAATCTAGAAATATAGCAATCAGAAAAAACGTTACAATGCATTCTTTATCAGAATGACTTAAAAAGAAATTAAAGCGAATAATTTAATCCTTTGCCTTGTATTGAATGAGATTCGTAGTACGAATTATATAAGAAAAAAATACGAGAATGGTAAAAATTGTGAGATTGCCAAGCAAACTGTTTATAAAATAAAATCATATCTACAAGCAATGAAAAGATCTTTTTTATTATATTGTTCTGTTTTATATTATAAAATTTATATAAAATGTATGTATAAAAAAATAAGTAATTTTATATTGTTATTGAATATTTGATATTTTTTTTATAAAACAATGTTTGAAAATTTTTTACACGATATTATTGGCTACCAGATGATCGGCAAAGGGAGATTGAAGTATTGCCAGACGTTTATTGTTCCAGCGCGCGAACAACTTCATCCCTAATAATGAAACGCGTGATCACAAATTAAATCGTAAGGCAAAGGATTAATTAATATTTTAAAAATTATTTTTCATCAATTATCAGTTAACTTAGATGAATCTTATTTTAATAATTTCGATGTAAAGCTTTGTTATCGAGTAATATTGTATGTAAAAGATAATTTTAAAAAATGCGCACGTACAGTATCCACTCAATGGCAATACTCTTATTTAGGAATAAAATTTATAAATGAAAATTGATGCAATAAATCAGAGATACTCTGTTTTGTATATATGATAATACTAGTGCAAACTATGTACATATACAATAATATTTACAGTTAATTGCAAAAAAATAAAAATATTTAAACGTGAATAAACTGATCGTTCGTTATATTGTATACATATGTATATATATTTATCACTATACTAGAAAGAACTTTATGTTAGGCTGAAGATATACTGTAATGTTATGCTGTTAGAAAGATTTACTCCAGACATAGAGAACCCATTGTCTAAAATCATAAATTTATTTTTATCGATTAATTTAACTAAAAGAGAGATTACACGAGTTTCCAAATATAGATAATGAACATTACCTGAGCAAACTTTATTATTTATTATGAATTAATTTTATCAAACTGTTATACATTCATATAAGAATTTTGTAAGGATTGAAGAGTATGGTATATTAATATTACAAAAGAATTTCTTATCCTTAATTATATTGTTACGCCCGTGCCGGGTTGACTTGAGCAAGTCTGTTCGAGTGTAACAATATTATTATGAAATATCTTTTAATAATCCAGCAACTAATATGGGCGAGGTGGGCCGCCGCGCATCAAACCTGGAGGAGGACCTCTCATGCCAGGTGGTCCCATCGGTGGACCACCACGTCCTATAGGTGGCATTCCAGGTGGCATACCTGTAAGATTGCAAAAAGTATGTACATACGCACACTTACACTTACACTTATACGCACACACGCGCGCGCGTATATATATATATATATATATACATATATATATTTTGTAACTATTTCTGATTATATAATTATTAGGTGTTGGAATTAATTCGTAGCGTTTTACAAGTGATGGGAAGTACTTTCATTAATGTATTTTTTAATGCTCATGTGAAATAAATAACATTCTTTCATTAAAAAACGCTACGAATTAATTCCAACACCTAATACTATTATATAATTTGTGATAATTTTTTAAATTAACACACATAAAATACTACTAATATATTGGACCATTTTTATAAATCTCATTGATGAAGAACTCAAAAAGATACTAGATTTATATCAGATATATATATCATAATAGTTGTATTTAATAGAAAAATAAAAAAATCATAAAATTTTTTTAAATATATTATAAAATATGTGTTAATAAGTATCGAATAAAAAAATAAAAATACCATGTATCCTAAATATTGGAATATGAATTTAGCAAAGGAAGAAACAATCGCTCAAGTTATTCTTAGATTATAAAAAAATAAATAAATAAAGAGAAAGGAAAAATAACGATATCTCAAGAGTTGTGAAGTTTTTTAAGAGTAAAAAAATCTTACCCATCATTCCAGCTGGTGGTCCCATCATGCCTGGTGGCGGTCCACCGACTGGCATACGTGGTGGACCACCAGGATGTATTTGAGGTGGTGCTGAGACCTGACCTCTACTGCCAGGTGTCATGATTTGTTGGGATGGGCCTCCGACACCCCTGACTGGTCCCTGAAGTCCTGCAGGTACACCTGCAACGTTCGCAGGCATACCTCTGCCAGCAGCACGAGCCATACCTGGTCCTGGTGCAGCTCCTGGGATCGGTACTCTAGGCAATCCTTCCTCGGGAGGCGGTGGACCCTCTACAGTCAAGGAAACAATATTTTCGCCACGGAGAAGCACAAAACCCAGCACACGTTTTTCTTCTCTCTCCGGTTGCTTCGTATTTTTCGGCTTGATCTTGCGAAACTCCTCACAATCACCAAGTATCAGATTCATATGTTTATCAAAAGCTTTGAATGTACCTATAAATGTTCTAGAATCTTGTAAGATGATCCTAACTCTATAGTTAATATGCTGTAGCATCTTATTATTCTTGCCAATCGTCTGAAAAATAATAATTTGTTATTTAAAATTTATATCTCTTAATTTATATATCTTAATTTCATTTATTACAGAAACTTTTGCTCAGAAAATTAATCCAATATTTTGTTTGGTTAGAAATGCGAGTTTAAGCTTCAAACGCAAAAATAATTGAAAAGGATCACAAATCGAGAAAAATTTTAAAGATTATTATGTTATAAAGAATTAATAATGATTATTATTGTTACTTACCATCTTGGCTGATTGTTGATTTTCAACGTAGAGCACAAAAATTAGTTGTGAAAAATCCGCACGGAACTTTTACCGCATAACCTCTTCCGACATGAAGAAGATAAACCGCCAAACACGACACTATATCAATTGTACCTAAAGTATACCTATGGTATAAATATATAATGGATGCTTTCCATTTCATGACACAAATCAAAATTGCCGGGGGTAGTGAAGGGTTGATTCTTTTTTATTCATTAAAATTTTTTTTATAACTTTAAATTAAATGTAGCTTGCTTACAATTAGAAGAATTTCAATTTTATTCAAATTGCAAATTGATAAAGTAACTTAGTAACGCATTGGTTTGCCATATTTTAGGAAATCCCGTCCTATATTTGAATACTTATATTTGTGTTATTTTTAAATTTCTACAATATAATTAAAATTAGTTTTATTTAAAGGTATTAATAAATATAAATTTTTTACATTACATATCGGTTTTGAATCGTGAAAGCTCTGCTTCTTTGCATGTGACGATACAGAGTAGAGTTTTTATGGATATCGCTCGTCGCTGATTTCTCATATCCGGTGTGCAATAGGCATTAAGGCTGTATTTATAGGCTGTGATCAAAGTCTCGCTACAAATACTTCGAAGCGTTGATGGATCAATTAGAAGAAAGAATTTTACAAATTGACCAATTAAAAAACGCTTCAAAGTGTTTGCAACATCGCGTTGATCATAACCATAGTCGGTTTTTATTTTAAGACCATCTTAAGTATTGTCTTAAGATGTTAAGACGATTTTCTGATCGATACCATCTTAAGATTGTACTTAAAACTATCTTAAATGTAAAATCTGACTATGAATATAGGTAGAGAGAAAAATCTGAATCTCTATTAATTTGATAGATTTTTTAGTTATTTTAGCAATTTTAGCATTTTATTTTCATCAGGAGCACTGCAAAAAATGGACATTATCGTATAGTTTACATTCATTTTTTCAGAAGACAGTAACGCGTGGCGATATTTTGTTTCAGGAGAAAGGCCCTCACGTCCTCTCTCATGTTTTTCTTTTTGATCATGAAGTATTTTGATATAAATATATAACTATATATAAAATAACTATATATAAAATAAAAAATAAATAATATATTATATAATATAATAATGTTATTAATATATTAATTATAAGCAATGAAAATACGAAAAAACAGAAATTGAAGAAACTATCACTATTGTAAAATCTGATATTTTTGTAGATTTTAATTTATGTGATTATTTTAGTTTTAGAGCAATTTCGATTAATTAATTTATAATTAATTGACAATTCAGTTTTACATACATGTTGTTAACATATGTATAGAATTATTAATTTTTAGTTTCGATACGTGCAACGATCATTATATTGGGTCATCTAAAAAGTATCCGCGGTACTTTGTCACTAGATATATGACCGTCAACACACATCTAGTGACAAAAAACCGCGGATACTTTTTAGATGACCCAATATATAAAAAATGCAAGTATCGTTGCCAAAAAAAAAATTTCCACGGTAATTTCACATTTTTCGCGTAAATGTGCTGCATTCACGATCTATAGAAAGATGAATGTTCGATAAGTTCAATGAAAAATCCATTCGGCTTCGTTGTCACTCTCTGTCAATTTGTATGTAATAACTTTAAATATTATAAATAATTTATGTAAATTTCGCAAGTATGCGTGTCGAAGGAAAGCAAACTGTTCAAGTTTTAGTTGCTCCTTGCAAATTGGACACCATTAATCCTATCGTTAAACATGAACAATCTCAACGAGCAGACAATTCTAGCTTGTACAGAAAAGTAAAAAGAAATATCATGTAGTATTAAAAAATTTATTACGCAAGATAATGATATAAGTAACACGCGAATTTAATTTTTATCTAAGATTTTGGATGAGCCGAAGTGTTCTAGCGGAGACAATTTGTCTTTTCAATCTTCAATAGACGTGATTAATGCGAATGAAGTTCTGAATACATTAAGCGAAACTAAAAATTTAGATATTGGAAAATATGATTCATCCACATCTAAAAACAATATTCAACAACTTGAATATGTTTCGTGGAAGTACAAAAATCCGTATAGTATTTCTATTACCAATCATATGGATTATGGAAAATCTAGTCACACATTAGGTAAATATAACACCTTAATACAATAATAGTATTATTTCATTACATATTAGTAATTTATTATTTAATTTTATTATTTAATAAAGTCATGATAATCACAATTTGTGGTAATTATGTTAGTCAAGTAATCATTAAATTTCTTTATTTGTTACTTATTGGGATATTATAAATCTTTTTATGTAATAAAAATTTTGTTTGTAATATCAATTCTTGCGCTAAACACATGTAATTAAAATGTTATATTGATACAATTTAAAAAAAAATTTGATGTAAGTTGACGTAATACACATAAGAAATATTTTTTAAAAAGTACAAACACTAGATAATCGAATTATGTTGTAACATTGTAGAGAATGTTTTCAAAGAGGACGAGCCTCAGGAAGGAAGAGCAAAGCAAAGCATTCTCTCCAATTGTCGAGAGTATTTAGCTACCTATCAGGAATCATGTGGTACACCACGTACCGAATATTCCTTTGCTGCTTTGATTGTAGTAATGGCTCAGGCTACGGCACGATCTTTGTTGGGACTGATATACATGATCATTAATGTTGTTCCTGTTATTCAGGTGGTTATATAAGCGCTTTTCTAAATATGACAGCAAATCGAAAGTAAAGGATTAAACGTGTATCTCTTGAAATATTCCAGATGTTTTCTTTTATATTGAGATTCGTGTTAGACAAAATAATCGAGATACGCAGAACCAAGAATATTCAGCAAGTAGCTGTGAAACTCACAATTTTCATCATACAATTGCTCAGTGTGTACGTTTGCCTTATATTTATACTTGGCTTTATCGTTTTGCCAATTGTACAAATGGCAATTGGTATTGCAATTAAATTTGTAATGAGCAATTAAAATGCAGTATTATATTGTAAAAGACAAATAAAATCATGATAGCGTTAACCTTACAGAAATTCTTTAATTGCGATTTAATCTTTCTTTGTACAAATTTATGAGCACGCATAACAATCTTTGTTAATCATTTCTTTACAATTACCTTATATGATAAAATTCACGAATCAGTTCGAGGACTGACTAGAAGGTAATGAAATTGAGAAAAAGACGCTTAATAAAAAGCAGCTAAAATGATTGAAAACACTAAGAAAATAGTGTTCAGCTCGATAGTGCTTGCCGTGGCCCATCCGCATTCCAGCTCCGTTTTTAACAAATTTGACAACGATATGTTGTTTTTATTCAGACAGAACGTCTCGCGGATATCGTCATCCCAACCATTGTCCCAACAATTAAATTCGTCGCCCTCCTCTCGCTCGAAATTATGGAATTCGTCGTAAGAAATACATTGATCCTCTTGATATTGTCTGTGCTTCCTTTGCCATATTTCTATCCATCTATGTAAAAAGAAATTATTATTGCTCATTAATCTTAGGAGATCAATTAATATTTTGCTAATCAGCATATAATAAAGAATTAAGTTACAAAAAGAATAAAACTTAATAAATTTTAAAATCAAGTAAATGTATTAATTTGTCTTCTGTATCCATATTTTGAAACTATAATAATATTACAGTTTACTACAGTTAATATATGCTTTGTTTCTTTTAAATCTATATTCAATGTTTAAGTCTTTTACTATAACAATTTGATTTTATTGTATCATACCCAATATCGCAATCGCAATTGACATGACTATTCGCTAATCGAAGTTTCATGAGGAATCGCTGGCCCGGTACTCCCGGTTTGTAACTGGATGATGGATTATGCAATGATCGTATATCGCTATCACGGATTTCCACGGTTACATTACGCACACGCTGTGCATTTCTAAATATTTCTCGCGGCACAATCGCCACGCTGGTATTGTATAAACTGAAGTGAAGATGGGGATTTCGCATACCCTAAAAAGTTACTCAATGTATACTTAATAATATTTAACATTTTTAAATAAAATTCATGACTAATTACTTTTATTAAAATTTAAACTTTACGATAATATATAAAATTATTATAGATAGTTCTCATAAAAATTAAATAAAATTTAATAAGTTAATTAATTCTGAGTCAGAATTATTTTGATCCAAACAGTTAAATTTTCGTTTAAATAAAAAATACGTTCATGAAAAAATGCATCAGAGATTTCACAAAAATCTTTTAACTATGAGTTAAAAAACGAAAACTTACGTGTAGTATCTCTGGATGTATAGTCTTTAAAGCTTTGCCAATCAACGTAATATTGTATAATTTGTAAGGCAATTTCCCTCTCATTTCTTTCTCTAGATTGGTGTCATTTTGAATCTATTACAAATATTATATGTTCAGTAAATCTAATTTTTATACGTACGCTATTCATCCAGTACTCACATCAATGAGCAAATGTTTTAAACCATGGTTATATTCTAGGATGTTGGGAAAGTTGAAATTCTTTATACTATTGTACGCAGTAATGTGTAATTTGCGGAGTTTGGTAGCTTTGCAAAGTGCTCCTGCCTATAAAAATCGATTCGTATCTATGACGAGATCTTGCAAAATTTGTGACATGCAAATTCGAAATATAAATACAATCTTACTTCAAAGATTGACAGACTGAGTTTTCGTATATCGAGCTCTTCGAGACTATCAGCCACACCAAGAAAACTAGTATTTGTAATAGCAGTAATGGGATTGTTCGCCAAATTGAAGGTTTTTAATTCCGGTAATGTGTGAGTAATCAACGGTATCACTGTTAAATCATTATAACTTAAATCTAAATAATGAAGAGATGTAAGATTGGACGACATTTCCGGGGAAATCGATGCCAACCCATTATGTGCCAGATTTAAAGTTTGCAATCGTCTTAGAGGCAACTCTGGAATCTACATTACGTATTATATGCTACTGTTCTATACGCTTTTTGCATAATAAAATACTTACACTTAAGAGAGAAATATTGCTCAGACCGAGATACAAAAGTGTGTCCTCTAAACCGTAGAACGTTCTTCCACGGCTTTCCAAAATAAGTTGTTTATTGTGGCTTAAGTCAAGATGAGTTAGATATGGTAGATCAGAAAATACGCCGTCGTCTAATCTAACAAGTCGATTATATGATAGATCTAACCACACAAGACCCTATTGAAAAATAGTACATTAAAAAATATATAAATATAATGTATATATATAAATGTAATAATACATAATACAATCTATAATATAATTACTTAGCAGTAAACAATTAAACATAGTTAATAAAAAAAATAACTATCTTAGAGTTCTACTAAACTATTCTCAGAGTAATAAACTTACTCTAAGTCTGAATATCGTATCAGTGGTATGAATTCCCGATAGAATGTTCCAGGACATATCCAAATTTACTAAATTTGCAGTGGAAGTCACCGACATACTTTTGACGGGCAGTCTCGTGAATTGATTGTGCGAGAGATCAAGACTTTCTATATCAGAGTCAATAAACATATTGTCCGGCAGTGTTCTCAGCTTATTATGAGACAAATCCACGATGCGCAATTTTTTTAAAGATCTTAAAGTCTCTGCTGGGATGTCTGTGATTTCGTTCCAAGAGAAAAGTAACACTTGCAAGTTGTTTGTGTTCTTCAAGCAATCAAAATATATCTCTATCAACTCATTATGTCTCAGGTCAAGCCATTGCAAGTGAGGCATATTGCCAAAGACATTCTGAGTGATGTTTCTTAATTGATTGTTTGACAGATACAGATGAGTGAGTGAGTACTCGACCGGCTTGAAATAATACTTTGCAATATCGGAGATATTATTGTAACTCAAATCCAGAACTTTAATATTCGATTGCACATTACCATTAACTAAAAGTAAAAATGTGGAAATTAAGAATATTAAAAATAATGACAGCTATAAATAAAAACAGTTTAATAAATAGAGAAAAGTAAATAAAATAGAGAAAATTAAATAGTTTAAATAAAATAAAACAGAACGAAATGATACAAAATTAAATTTTATATTCATTATTTATAATTTCTAAATTGAAAAGTTAATATTCCTTTTGAGATTTATTAAACATGAAGACTGTAAACTCACCGACAGATGAAGATATGAAAGAGGTGCTATTTATCCATAATCTTGAAATTTCATTATGGCTAACGTTAACTTTGAATGATGATAATGTACCCACTTGATCGAACGAGGCGAAGTCAAATTCATTAAGATTGTTATATGCGAGATCAAGAAACTCAAGATCTGGTAAATTCTAAAACAATATATTCATCAATAATATATATTATTATAAAAGTATTTTTTTCAAATCATTAATTTATCACTGAATTTTTATTTAGAACAAATACAAAATAATTAACGCTTATAGAATTATTTTTTAACGATAAAAATTATAATTTTAATTGCATTAAATTTTAAAAATTCAAATGGCAGAATTTTTATTTTTAATTAATTCTAAATTGATTTTAGTTTAACAAAGATTTAGCCTGTATGCATATATTAAATTACTTGAAAGGCTTCATCGGTGATGTCTCTAATCTTGTTGCCGCGCAGATTGATGTATTTAAGTCGGTTCATATTTATAAAGGCTCGTCTTTCGATCCTCTCAATGGTATTGTCCTCCAGATTAATTGTCATTAAAGCCGATAAATCGATGAATGTATGAGTTTGCAAATCCCTCACTTGATTAAAAGCGAAGTTGATTTCTTCCAGAGTTGAATGGATGTCACCCTAATCAAATAATTTTTTATCATATAAGATACATGTCATATAAAAAAGCAATTTACCTGAAAGGTACCCTTCAGTATGCTATCAATTTCGTTATCCTGAAGCTCAATGCGTTTTATTCTTTTTAAAAAATGAAAAGATGTAGCAGATAAAGATCGTATCTTATTATTGCTAAGGTCAAGATGCTGCAAATTCGTTAACGATTTAAATGGCTGATTTGGTATTTCAGAAATTGAGGAGGAGAGACCATGAGACATCCTTAATGTTAAAAGAGAATAGCCCACCTATATATAAATTAAAAAAAAAATTTAGGCAACTTTGTATTGTTTATATAATTTTCTTATTATACATAGTTAACATTTAGGCCGGTATTCATAATTGATTCTTATATTTAAGACCAATTTAAGCATAACATCTTAAGATGTCATGAGCCATGTCAGATTCGTATTGCATTTTAATACATTACTTAAAATGATCTTAAAATAAGAATTAATTATGAATATCGGCTTTAATGTTACAAATTAACTTTTATAAAGATTTAATTTTTCTAACTTACTCCTATAGCACAAAGTTGCACAAAAGTTGCAACAACACTGTTGCAACATTGCAGCAGCATTGCATGTTGTAGCAATATTACAGAGATTTTGCAGCGATATTGATGCAAATTCTGTGCTGTATGGGATATTAAGTTCAAGCTAAGAAAATTTAATAAGAATAAAAAATTTACCTCCGAGAAAGCATCATCATCTATAGTCGATATCGAGTTTTCAGAAAAATCAAGATACTTGATTCCGCGAACATGCATGAAAGCGTGATTTTTTATCGTATTCAGATTACTATTAATTATCCGTAATTCTTTGATATCCATACCAAATTCTAGAAAATCATTCGCCGATAAGATTGCCTGTGGCATTCGGGAGATCGAGAGAAAACGCAAATTTCTCATTTGTCGTAAGTCTTGAAGGGAAATCATGCCGTTCTGCTTGCCACTGAGGTCCAAATTATACAAATATTGGAAGCCACTAAAAACTTCAGCTAAAAGTACACATCGTGAGAATCATGCTTGTTTTGTGTCCATCAATTGCAAAAAATATGCACTATTTACTTGGCGAAAATGTGTTGATACGATTCTCGCGGAAGATAAGCGTACGCAGAAGATCGAATTCTTGAAATAGACGATTAGGAAGCACAGTTATATTATTTCCTGACACA